CATCCGAAGTCGTTGATTATTGTCGCAAATATAGGAATATTATTATTTGAGAAGCGAATAACGTATAATGTCGTAAAGAGTTTTATATTATCAGTAAATTGCTTATACATGAAATAAATGGCTATATATCAGCTTATTTTTTTAAAATACTCCCTCAATCCTATGAATTAGTTTCTCCACATAGTATCTAAATACTGGTATTCGAAAAGGACCCATCTCTCCAAGTTATTCAACCAAGAAATTGAGAATGAAGTAGGTAAAAACCATGAACCAAATTTTTGTACTTGTTAAGCCTCTACAGAAAGACATACGTTCAATCTTAAGGTTATTGTTATTTATCGAAAGGTTCAAACCAAATTCATCTAGTTTAAAAATGTGCAAAGTTACTACTGAGCTATTTAGATGGCGACTGATCTCCAGAGCATTATGATATCTACATTGATTGATCTCTTGGTAGTGGTTCCAGGTACCCATTCGTGATCAGCACCAATTTGCCTGAAATGTAAGCCCAAAGTTTTCTCGTTGTTATTCCCAATTATCAAACTTCTAAATATAGTACAAGCGATAACGAATCATTTAGAGTATTAGCCACATTGTAACTTGATAGATGGTATTCTGTCAGTATCAAGGACTAAACAAAATGACGATGATTACTACTTGATAAAAACTTAATGTATATTAAAAAGAACGATGAAACTTTTCGGTTATCGTTTTTACTTTTCTTCTACTTTTTCTCTCACTCCATGTTTATATCCATTTCTTATTATAAATCGATTAGATATTTACTGATGATACGCATATCATCTACTGGTTTATTTATCCACTATAGAAATTTTTCTTTGTATATACAATTGAATTTCGAAAAAAAATATATAACTAGGGCATATATAATAAACAAGAGAACTGTTGTATAAGAAATGATCAAGGTCACCAAAAAAAGAAAAGAAAATCAGGTCAATAAAGTAAGAAAAATGGTAAGTTTCAATAGATCAAATGACATTAAGGTGAACAGATCATAAACATTTAAAATTGGAAAAAAAGCACAAAAAGTAAAGAATTGACTCCCAGTGATTTATCAATGTCAAACTTTTTCATGGTAGCTCAAAATAAGAAGAAATAATGACTTTCATTTGAATATATAAGTTCCACAGTTCTAAGTTCATAAAGTTTATACATATACCAACTATAAATTCATACATTTAGATCATATGTTGAGTAAATAAGATGATTGTATGAATGGGTTTGATACAAAGCAGTTAGCTGTTTGTTACTTTATCAATCCAAACCATGTTCTTCAAAGTTAAATAGATACGTATAAATTGCCAATATGTGGAAATGTGAATTTTTGAAGGATTGCGCGTACACAATGTTGACTCAAATTATGTAACATAAAATGAATTTTAAATTAGTTCAAGAATTCGTGGAAACTTATAGACTGATTGGGTTTGAACTTGATATCTATACTACTTCCCAGTCTATTCTAAAATTAATGGAAAAGTGGGTTGTTAACAGACTGAAGACGACGCTTAAGCAGTTGTATTAACACGATTAGTTGAATTTATAAATGTATATAATAGTTATTTGTCTCGGAAACCTAACCTTGATTTACAGCTGTAGAACACAATAATTATAAATATATTTACCTTAATTAATAGTGAATTGACTTTTGAAATGAAGGAAGCTGGGTTGAAGTTTTAATGTGATTATACACACTGGAATCTCGTTGACACGTCCCAAATAGGATGAAATGTTCCTCCTCGATCCCATCGGTACCCAAGAGTTACTCATCCTCAAGTGGTGTGAGTATGTGAACATGACAGTTTTGATAACATTTTTTCATCAGTTATACGCTTAAAAAATTTTCATATATTTTTCTATTGAATATATATATATATACATTTAACCACAATGATTAAAATATTGTGGATGAATATTTCTATTTTTATTAGTATATGCTGATTAGAAATTACAGAAAATACCTATTTTTTTCATTCTGGTAGTGTCTTTCACGGGCAGTTGAATTTGTATTATGAAGTCAATACTTCAGTTCCACTTATCACAAATCGGTTTTATATTTTCTCTGACTGATTTTTTTCAGAATAAAAACAGCGTACATTTGTTATGCTATTGAAAAATGTAAAAAACAATACATATCGTACAAAATAATCTCATGCTCTGTCTATGAAGTGCATCTCTTAATCCGTTGCAAATGAATGCATTTGTGAATATTTTGAAAATTTAACGTCAAAATCATTAGGCGTTGTGCAGTCAAATATATAGCTGCATACTGAAGAACAGTAATACGGAAACGTCATACTCTGTAGACTATTAAAGTTTAGTTGAGTTTGAATATCATGAACTTAATTCCTGGATTCTTTATAAATTATAAAAAGACCTAAAAACTAAAAATTCACTACATACTGGCTTTCAATAGTTACAAAGTTGAAATCATTTCTTGATGTAAACTACCGTCAAACAACGTAATCTGCTAAAAACTTCTATTCAAAAGATTCCGCTTTTCTTAGCAATATATTCGACTTAATCAGTGAAAAAATATGGTTGAGACGTAGATGGTAAACGAAATTGGTCATTTGCTAAAGTATAGACATATTGTAGTAAACAAAATCTCAGTTAGGGAAGACCAGTTTATTGTTTGATGCAAAATTACAAAGTGCCATTGTAAAATATGAAAACAATATATTAAATACATTATCTGCACATCTACGCTAGGTTGCCTTCTACATACTTCATGATTCTTTCAATTCTGTTATTATTTCAATTACCCTCTGTTTTCCTTACTGTTCTCTTCACTTCCATCATATGATGGCAGACGTTGCACCCCCGATTGATGTTACTTACTACTTATATCTGTCAGCATGAGTAACATGCACCACAAAACTAGTTATCGAAAATATTTATCCACGCAAAAATTAGTTTAGAAATCGTCTCTGTTTTCCTACCAAAATTGTAAATTTATCATTCCAATGAAAAAGGAAACTTTATATTTCTTTTCACTATTACACTAAACTCTTTAAGTATGATTTTTAAAATGTGCATCATGGAAATAATTGTTTCTTGAAACTGGCAAAAAATGTATATATCCAAGCATAACCTTTTGATATCAGTATCGATATTAAGAATTTAGTAAAATCTCAATATGATAATAGCCATATTTTGACTTTGTCACTTATTCTCTTATTAACTCTGACTGTTTTTATTTGAGTGTGTGTGCGGTAATTTTTTACCCTATTCATTATTTGTCTGTAATTTATTATTCTCTGAATATAAATATTGAGTCACGCTTTATCAAATTGAGTCGACACACTCACCTTCTCCACTGCATATCATTTCGGTTCGCTCTCTCCTCTTCCCTTTCTTTCCCTAAGTGTCTGTTCAGATCAACGATTGTATAAACTATACTTAATAAAAAAATCCATTCTTGTATTTGGCTTATTCAATTCTATTATTCACCACCGCGATTTCAGTTGTATAGTTATATTATAGTTAGTAAGCTTATTTTTCTCCATGTTTTTGCCTTTCAATAAATCTTTCTTTTTAAAACATTTCATTCCTTTGGAATATAGTTAGATTATTTTAATTACTTTCACTTATAGGTTAGATTATTTTCAAATATGTGAACTTTTGATTTGTACTTTAGTTTACAAACAACTGTAGTGTTTTAAGTTATGAAATGAAATTGTATAAATTAAAAAATCTCCCTCTATCAGAACATTTATTGATTTACACTGATTTCAGGTCCTTTTAAACTATGTCCTTAAAACTTCTCGGTATAATAAATAATGTGGTTACTTTAAATAGTATTCAACATCATTCAAATCTATGTTTTTTTAAAAATTTGATGTGTATAGTAAACTAATTTGCTTCATTGAAGTCTTAGTGGTTCTGTTACTATGCCTATATGTATCACCATCAGATATACTGATAAAATAATTTCATTCATATCATTGTCCTACTTTTCAAATAGAATACCAAGTCAATTTTTTTCTGTATCTCCTGATAATTGATGGAAATGAGTAGCATGTGCGATTTTTTAAATAAATCCCAGTATATTAATCAGTTTTAACCTGAATAAGCAATGGAATAAGGCGTAATTTAGCAATTAACGTCTAAAATACAAAGAGTGAGAATGCAGACAGATTGACGGAATAGATTTTTACTCGTTATCTATTTATAATCCCTAAATGACAGTGTTGTATATAGTTGTTAACAGGCAGTTCAACGTTTCCATAGGCATACTATGATATCGAAAGTATACTGTTATTATGATTTTCCAAATTTGTAACAAAGTAGCCAATCAGTATACGTTTGAAATTGTGTTAATATTTAATTTTCAGAAGGGAGTTTTGTGGAGATCTCAGAAATTTTATATGCTTGAGATCGTGAGTCAATTGAAGCTAGAGCACTATGGAAAAACTGGAAACACTGGATGGCCGTTTCGTTCTATTGTGGGACTCCACAGCAGTGCGCATTCACGATCCCGCCTTGTGTGATCCGAACCCAGGGCCTACCAGTCTTGCGCCAGAGCACTTAACTGATAGACCATTGAGCCGGCATCCAACGGTGTTAACGTCAAACCTCAACCAGCCCACAAAATTGCGCGATCAACTTCCATTGTACTGAGGTAGATACCTGTCTCTACCTGATATGGATCAGCTCCACTAGTCACGACTTCTTACTAGAACTCCGGAAATTAAGTCATGGAGCCAGTCACTAGTGAGCATATGATCATTATCAAAAAGGTATTTCGTGGAGATTTTAGTAACTTTTTTAAATAGTTGAGATCATGAGTCGATACGCACTGCTAAGGATTCCTACAATAGTACAAAACGGTTGTCCAATGCTTCCAAGTTTTCCATAGTGGTCTAGCTTCAATCGACTCATGATCTCAACTAAATTAAAAAAAATTACTTAAATCTCCACGAAACCCCTTTCTGATAATTATCTATACTCCTAATTTTTTTATAGATAACAAAATCACGTATAAAATCATTCGTTTATTTACATATCTGATTACAACTAAAAAGAACATTGAAAAAAAAAGAAAAAATGTACAATTCTTGTTGATATGTATTACTATTCTCTTCTTTCTTTTCTTCATTTTTATACAAACAATAATGTTGATAACACTATTATTATTATTACTATTAATAGTTTATATTTCAAAAATATGTTATCCCCTCATGTCTATCATTTTTAATTATTCAGTTATCATTATTGTATTGTATTTTTTTAAATAAACATTCATTCAGAGGAAAATACAAATGTAAAAATCTTTTTTCTTCGTTAATGTATATTTTACATTTGAAACTTGTTTCATGATTAGATCAGATAAAAAAAAAGAAAAGGAAGAAAAAAACAGAATGAAGATCAGGAAACTAACAAATTATTGAATGTATATTTAAAAGAATAGACAATCACAGATTTGGTTTGTTGTTGTTTTTTTTATCAAAAAAAGAGAAAATGAAACAAAGAAATTGTATAGATTAATCACAGTAATAATAAGTCATGTTAATATACCTAAATAATTGACAAAAAATTACAATAAAAGTAATTTCACTAATATTTTTTTTGTACTATACAAGAAATAATTTCTATTTATTATTTGTTGTAGAAAGGGAAAAAAGAAAAATGATAGAGAACTAAACGCTTGAGTTCAGTTTAAGAGCTTTCTATATCTGGATTACTTGATATTTCTTCTAAACTTTGAAGGTAGATTAAAGTAGATTTTTTAAGATTATTGTTATTGTGATTATAACTACTATTGATGGAAAGATTTTTATCTTTATCTACATTCGTATTATTAATGTTACTACTATTAATGATAGTTGTGCAAGTCTTAGATTTTGTCTCGTAATCGGTATCAATTTTATGATCACATTGCCTAGTTTTATCAAATCTAAAATCACTGATTGACTTTTTCTTCCGTATTGATTTTAAATGTTTAGCATTTAAATTTTTATCTGTAAGAACTAGAAAGCTTACAGAACAATGCGATGAATTAGATCCACGATAAGGTAGTGTATATGAACTAGATGATTTTAAATTTCTACTGTTAATATTATTAGAACAAGTTATGTCTTTCAACAAGTTATGACTGTTTGATTTAATGTCATCAATTATTTTACAATCATCAAGCAGTATTCGTTTTGATAACAATCCTTTATCTACAGGCATTGGTTTTAATTCAGAGGATATACTTAAGGCTTTGGTTTGCTTTTGTCTCATATGAAATATAGGTCTGAATATATGAGAAAAAAGTTTCTGCGATTCACAGCTTGCTCTATTATTTGATGGAAGACTAGGCCTCGAACGAGAACTGGAACTATTATTACGATAAATACTTAAACGATAGTTTGAGTGATTTCTTAAATTCATTCTAGGATTATATCCATATTGTGTTGCTGTTCCAGCTAACTCAGATTCTTCTCCATCATCATTATTGTTCAAAGACCTCGTAGCCCATTCCGGAATGTAGATGCAATGTAATCCGTTATCTCGAACACATCGATAGGGCCAAAACGTTCGTATAAAATGTCGACGAAATCTGCGGCTGAATATGTAGTATGGTAGAAGATTTATCGCTGAATTGACAATAATCAGTAAATTTCCGATTTCATTTAAAAGGAACCATGACATTTTTTTGCTAGATTCTATTGTGATAAGGCCCCAGGCTATATGACTCACAGCAGCTGGAAGCTAATGGAAGAGTAAACAAAGTTTTCAACAATCAAAAAATATTAATTAACAGGAAAACTTAGCATATATTAACTTATTATAGCAAAAAAGATTCATCACTATATCTTTAGCGCTTTTTCGAAAAAACCAATATTTCTAATTCCAAATCTGTCAGGGTACGGTATCATGATTCTAAATAAGCTACGTATATGCTAACTATGAAACGAATTTAGTATTTGCATATATTTTATATCAGCACGAATCAATACTAAGTTTGCAGATAAATCCTTATCTGAATTAAAATGTTTTGGTGATATGCCAACCGAAGTCACTTACATCTTAACTTGATTTTAGTGTATCTACAAAGTTTAAAACTGCGATTGAATCGGAATTACAAGAAACGCGGATTCCTTGGCTAAGGTAGAGCTTATTCAGTACTTTTATAGGATATCACTTATTAAGGAATGTCTAAGAAATAATTATTAACTTTATGTATGATTACATGGATTTTTTTGGATGTGTAAGATAACACTACACTTCAAAACCGAAAACGTTAAACTTTTATCATTAATTTTAGTTTATGAATAAGCAATCAAGACTCATATTACTGACAAAAACTTATTTCCTTGAGTTATACAAAGAAATGATGTACTTTTGACGAAATGCTTTACCACTGTTTTTAAACACTTTTATCTAACATTAGTAAAACGTGCAAGTCAGTTTGTTTTTTTATGAAGTATAAAACACATATTTTCCAGACCAATTAGCCACTGTTTTTCTGTGAAAATAAAATAACCATTCTTAAAATTATTTTTCTTAAAAAACAGTCTACTTTTGATTTCATTCAGCTAAAAATTTACAAATATTGTCAAATTTTCATGATAATATTGGAAGAAAAAACACAAAATTAATTATTGCTGCAAAAATGATAACACTTACATATAATTATGTAGGTTCAGTAGACAAAAAGATCCTTTAAAAGCTACTTTAAGCATTAGTTAACTAAATTTTCAGCCACATTGAAGTCAAATATACTGTTTCTTGGTTTTTCTACATCATCATTAGTTTGTTAGAGAGATTACTAGTCAAATGACACAACTTTATTTAACTTAAACATTTCATTTATTAATAACATGTTGTTTTTCATCCACTTTCCTAATCTTAATCAGAATTGGAACAACATGCTATTATTGTACTACAGAATGAAGCAAAACGTAGCTTGATTATATAACTATTTTGATTTGTATTATTATTTAGAAAAAAACATCATGAAACAATGTTTCATCATTCTTACCTGACATATGAAAAATATAATTATTACTCCGATAAGCATAATGTTTGTATCCTGTCGTCGATATTCTGATCGTTTGGTTTGATCAACACACTTTCGACTTGATTTGCGTACTTCCAAAATAAGAAATGTATTCATAATAGCGATCAGAGTGAATGGTATCCCAACAACTAATAAAACCCATGACCATAGATGATAAGCTTTACGAAATTGAACTGATTCACCGAAACTGGTTAACTGATACCAAACTATTGAGATGCTGGTCATAGAATCACTGGTAATACCATTTCCAACCATACCTTTATCGGATATTACAGATGTAAAAGTTGATAAATTCTGTACAGATAAATCACTATTTGTGAGATCACCGTATTGAAACTCTAATAAGGTAGGATTTAGTGGTAGATACATTTCAAAAACTTTATATTCAAAATAACGTGGGATTCCATAAATCAGACTAAATACATAAATTAAAAGAATTATAATTTTGGCAAGTTTCATAGTGCACCATCTTTTGGCCCAGAACGGATGACATATCATTAAATAGCGATCTGCAGCAAACGCAACTGTTAACCAAACAGATGTGACCTAATATAAAAAATAAAACAATTGAATAATTTACCGTACTATTTGTATATATTTCTACTAATTCAACAAACTACTGTACAACTACAGCAAATTAACCGAAATTCATGTTTTACTTTATTAACTACTACAATTGATTTACATTCATAATACGGAAAACAGTTGAATAATGTACAGATTACATGAAAAGAGAATCAATTCTTCTAACTGCACATTTATAAATACGAGCACGCCCAAATCGATTTGCATGTAACTGAATACAGTTTTATGGCACCAGAAAACTTACTATAAACGCCTTACAAGAAATATATACATATTTATTAGGTGAGAAATAACCAAAGATATGAATGACTTTATAACTAAATGATTAAATCTTGTAATTAAGTCAGAATGGAACTGTATAAGTTCAGACAGCTGTTTGGCTACAAATCCGAATAGGTTCCGAATACAGTTGACTGAAAATTAGCACAAGTATTACAATAAATATTGTACCTTCATCTATTGTTTAAGCTTGCTGAGAGAGAAAAATTCACTAATTATCTCAGAAAAACTGCTTTAATTGAATTAACTCTAAACAGAAGTATGGTAGAAATTAGCCAGAAAATTTATTCAAATGTTTAGTAAATGTAATTTAACAAGTGAATTACACCAAAAAAGGATTTGTTAATCTTGCACTGATTGCTTAATTTTTGGCTATCATAAATCAACTGTTCACAATGAATACAAAGTATAGCTAGTTATTGTACCAAGAAAATGACACTTAACATTTTTCTAAACTGCCTGAGTTTTCTGTCCATTTTATTCACTAATTAATGGAACAAAAAGAAAACGATCCGATTCTGCTATCAATATTCACAAATAGTTTGTACACAAAGCTCTGGATTAAACATACTCCTTTGACATAGTTTTATGGAAAAAATAATTTAATTCTATCAAAAATGCCTAGATGAATGTATCATTGTGTGAAAACAGTTAGTTGTAAAATCAAATTGTTTACTAAATTACTAAATTTTTACTAATCGTGTTACTCGAATAAATTTCTGTAAGACAAAAGCTTCGCCTGTACACCCAAGTAGCTACACTAATCTATCCCTTTGTATTTGTAAATATTATTTCTTAAGGAAATGTGTTCTCTCAATATATATTTATCGGTACTAGTCTTTTTAAATTCGCCTGGATCCCTTCTCGAGTTGCTACCTATCCCGGGCTCATGTAAAAGAAAATGGTTAGACGTGATGTCATCAACACCATCTCGCTAAAACGACTAAGCAGGAAACATCAATTAAACCATGTAAAACTAGTAATTTTGGTCTTAAAATTAATGATACTTTCTGTTTTTATCACTTTACTTAAAGGAAAATCATCTCAACATCTTCGGATAATTGAGTACATGATTTATAAGAAATTTTATTTAAATATATAATTTATTTAAGTCAAATCAAGCACAAAATTTGTCGTAGTTCATTAAAAATATTTTAAAAGCTAAATTTTCAAATTCAAAATATAATATGCGTCATTTCACAACGTCATTCGAATGTTTTCTAATCTAATAGGTTTTGTTATTAAGGTCTCTAAATTTCTTCATTACAAAAAGATTTAAAAGCAATTATGTTAATAAACTTTTAATTGTATCAAAAATGAAACCAAAATAGTCATAAAGTAAAAAAGAACCTAAACAGCAATAAGCTACTTTTAGAAGAGAAAAAAGGGATGAAAGTTTTAACTAGATTTGTAAATATGAATTGTTGTTATTTTGTGTTATAAGAATTATTTTGTTGAATGTTTGAAATAATTTCATTGTTTGACAGGAATATAGACATATACATATAAATGTTTGAAAACAAACTTGCAATAGAACATAATTATTTCCTTATTTATTTTATTTTACTAATTAAGTAATCGAGAGAAAGAGCTGATAGAAGTTGTTAGTTCAAGAACGTTAAAGGCGTCTCTATGAACATAATAAAATTTCGAGGAACAACTTCAGCTAACATCACCCTGATCATTTAGATCAAATGACTTGCCTTAATCAAGTAACCAAAACTATGTGTAATCTTTTACTGCTTTTAGAATTTATAAGGTTTGAACAATGCATTATTTCAACCCAAGATATCATGTTTGAAAGTGTGACATTTGATTTGAAAACTGAACACAACAAAGTTACACATACGTTTTGATACAAATGTCAGATGATATAAAACAAAACACTTGGACTAAAAACCGAAGACCATTCTTCTGCTTTTAACATACGTTATCTAATCTTACTCGTGCTAAATATATAAAAGTATAAAAGTACATTCTGAACGTCCTATGTTGAAAACACATAGGTTTACTTGAAATCTCTCTATCGAAAATTGAATCTACTCAGTTGTAAACATTAGAGCATCAAGAAATTATCAAACGATTACATAGTGAATATCTTTACCAAAACATTTCCTGAAAATTTTTTTGAAAAGATCCACTAGCTTATATTTATGCATCTACATTATTAGATTGAACAAGTCAAAGTCATACCATATTTCTAAATATCATCAGTCACATAAATTTCTTTTTCAAATTATTACAACAAAAATTTCCTGATTTGTGATTAGTTTGCTTTTAGTAATGTTTCTCTGAATCAAAAATGTTTTCCTAGACTAAAATCTATTATTTATTGTGGAAGTGGTTTAAATCATGATGAAATTTATCTCCTAAAACGGGAAATTTCATCAGTATGTCCACCATTTAAACATCCTGAAGAAATATCTAATAAATCTTTTTCTTTCGTCATGAATACATATGATCATTCACTCAAAAAATATGAACATCAATGAACATTACAGTGGCTTCCAGACCATTACTGTGGTAAAACACAGGTTAAAAATAACTTTCAGGGATTCCTTTTAGTATTGTCACAAATTTTCTACAGTAAACTGCTTCGGTTTCCTATGATAAAATATTATGTACTATCCATTTTCATGCTTTCGTTACTAGTTATTAAAGGACTATATTGTCTTTTTTTAAGTGGAATGCTTAAAATGCTGCAAAAATAATTTTGAAATAATGCATTGATATTTTAGTGAATTAAAATGTATTCATTGTCAAAATAGAATCTTTAATAACTGGATCAAAATATTATTAAACATGTTATTAGTTTTTGAGATACTCTATGTTACTGGGGATAAACTAGTCAAATTGATAAACTAACATAAAATAGCAACTCCTGGCAACGAAAGTTTACTTAAAGAAATGATAGCTATCCTATATATTTACCGCCTAAATAAACTGATTTTATTGCTAACTTTATTGGTCAGTTACTTTGTAAATTGTTAATTATTTCACTTTCATTCAGTATTGTTTGTTTGAATCTCACCATCGATTTGTTAGGACTGCAACTGGTCAGTCTCTAATTGGCATATGTGCATACTGTGCGTATTGCCTCAATATAGCCTTAATTCACAAGCATGGTAAGCAGAGATGGATAGTGGCTAGCAGTGGATCATTTCGATTCTTGTGTACATGAATACATTTGAAATCACTTTTTCAATAATAAAAGTTTCTTTGATTCGTTTTTTATGAATACTTTTCTTTTCTGATAAAGCTATAAAAACTAGTTTTTACTAATATTTTATGATTTTATTTAGATAAAACCATTGTTTTCTAGAATTACTTTAATATCGTATTAACAAAATTGTGTTTAAATTTAAGGTTTAAAAGAAATAAATTCATAGGTAGATCGCTAAAGAGGTTTATAAATATTTTAAGAAATTAGTTTATTTTAACAATAGAACTCTCGTGTCGATCTAAGCTAGGTCGCTATTGAAAATCTGAAAGTACTAGTAGGCCGTTTGTCCCAGTATGAAACACCTCAACAGTCAGTATCCATCGAGTGAACGTAGACAAAAACACTATCAGATGCCGAGATAGTGGTCTGGAGGTCAAGCGTTCGCGCTCGAGACCGAAGGCCACGTGTTCCAGTCCAGCGTATTGGATAGTGGATGCGCACCGTTGAGGAGTCCCATGCCAGGACGTAACGGCCGTCCAGTGGACCCAGGTTTTCAACGGTGGTCTATCTAAAATCAAGTCGTGAATTCAGCATTTAAGATACTACTATCTTAACTGATTCAATCAACTTAACCATCAAATTTTTCAACTTGAAGCCTACTGTTACAAAACAACATACCTATATGAGTTCATATTTTATAGCGCTATAAAGATTTTATCTTATCAATTAACCTTAGATGAGTAACATCCAGTTAGCAGAGGATAAATTTAAATAGAATTCCAGAAATATTGTCTTAAATTTTTTAATAATACATGTAACTTTTTAATAAATATAGACCTAGCAGTTTCAGAATGTGAATACATATAGACAAACTGATCAATACGTTATTTCACAAATTTGTTTAAAGTAGGTTTCGTAATTTTTTGCAATCCTGTATTGAAACACCAAAGTAATCAGTTTTCTGTGAATTCTTGATCTACTGTTGCTTACAATGATATTCAAAATTAGATGAACAAATAGCAAAGAAATAATTTGTTTTTCAATGCCATCAACATTATGAATAACATCAGTAATGCAAAGACATTCATATCTAAACTAACGTCTAATGTAAATAAATGGATATACATTTACACTAGAATTTAGTGGACAAACTTTGCAGTTTTATATATTATGAAATAAGTTTTCTGTAAAAGTTAATGTTGGAAATATCCCTGTTTTTAAAATTTAATACATTAATAATACAAAAATATTTACTAATTATAAATGCAATACCCTGTTACATTTAGATAAATTAGGACTAATACTTTAGATACACATTAAATGGAATCCATATTTATTGAAAAAACAAGTTGAAATTGTAAAGCTTAACACCTGGTAGATTTAATAACATATTTAGTTTGACTAGTTCATGATCCAACTTCTAAAATTTTTTCATCTTGATGTGGTTTAACACTATTCAAAATACTGTTACTTGAAGGTAAGTAAAGTCAAATTCTGAGTAATGTATTTCCTGATTTAA